AATTTGCAATCCTCTTCCCTCAGCCTCCTGAGAAGCTGGGATTACAGGCTTATGCCAGCATGCCTGGCCAGAGATACACATTTTTAAATAGCATCCAAAATGTCTTTTATGCAAATGTCAAAATGAAGGCATAAATGGTCTGGAGGGAAAAAAAAAAGAACTTTGTGCTRAGGCTATAGTTCAGTGGCAGAGTGCTTGCCTAGTATGTGTGAGGCACTGGGTTTAATCCTCACTACCACATAAAAATAAATATATAAAATAAAGGCATTCTCTTAATACACAACTCCAAAAAAATTAAAACACTTTAAGCAAAAGCAAAGTTATTGTGAGGCACTCAGCTAGAACACAGGATGCCTGATGTATGTTCAGGGTTGTGAGATTTCAGGCCTCCTTTTCTCTGCTGAAGCAACTATACTGTTGTCCTCTACCCTACAGGTGGCAGCATCTTCTTACTGAAAGAATGCATGTGTGTCATGTCAGAGCTTTTTGAGGTTAGAAGCACTTTGGGAACGAAGTATGTGAAACACAACAAGAATCTAATTTCACTTTTCAAATGGTACAGAGAGGTTTTACCATTTATTGTATGGCTACTGAACAATCTGGCTTTGAAATAATACAAATCAAAATTTGAAATTAGTGAAAACCTTAGATTTTTTAAAGTAAAGTACAAATGAAATGCCATATATTGTCTAAAATCCTGTTTATGGAATGCCACAGGCCTGAAGCTGCAAGATGTGAACAGCTCCCATGCCATGATTTTTGGTTGTCTGAAACCCTTGCTCGGTTTTCAGATCAGTTCCTCCTCTTGTGTTGCTTAAAGATCAGCCTGGTGGAATTGTATAGAAATAACTGATCAACATCATTGTCCGTATTCCATTTATGTTTATTTTGGTAAACGACCAGTAGGATATCTTCTGGGATTTGTTTCAGAAATCTTTTAGGATGTCATCGTGCTTCAGGGTCCCATTAGGGATTTATTATGCTCCAAACCAGTGCTCCTTAAAGTGTTTGAAAGCTAGTGAAATTGTTTGAGAGAGATGCTGCTRTGTAGGATGTTACTAGCCCACAGTTGAATAACATTGAAAAACTTGCAAAAAGCCAGGTGCAGTGGTGCTTGTGTATACTTCCAGCTACTGGGGAGGCTGAGGCAGGAGGATCACTTGATTCCAAGAATTCAAGATAATCCTGGAAAACATAATGAAATCCCATCTTAAACAAACAAATAAATGTAATAGTTTGACATTGTCTCAACTTTCTTACTATGTTTAATAAGAGTATCTATAGTAGATTGGGAATAACGTAAAGCTGGTCCTTTATCTCAGAGGGTGAAGAAACACTGCTCTAAAGGAAGTAGCCTTGAGGAGGAGTACTTTAATGAAGCCACCTTTATTTTACATTTATTTTTCTATTTCTCAGGGATTTTGTATTGGAAGACATGGATCTTGCTGCTAATGAGCTCAGCATTTATGACAAACTTTCAGAGACTGTTGATTTGGTGAGACAGACAGGCCATCAATGTGGCATGTCAGAGAAGGCAATTGAAAAATTTATCAGACAGCTGCTGGAAAAGAATGAACCTCAGAGGGGGCCACCCCAGTATCCTCTCCTTATAGCTGTGTATAAGGTAAAAATAAAATCACTTCGAGTTTGATTCTACCATTTGAAACTTGATTTTTCTATGAATAAATTGGCCTTTGCTCTTGTTGTTTTGTTACTGGAAAATTTGACTATGTTGTTCATCATCACAGATGAAAACTGTATGTTTATAGTGAAACTATTTGTGTATATTTTTTAGTGGTAGACATAACCTCTGATTGTATGATAGGAACTTGGTGAGCCTTCGGATCCTCCTAGTTCTCAAACTTTAAATGCTTTCAGAAATGAAAGTAAATGGCTTGTTTATGAAAGCAGATTTATTCTTCTGGAAGTATCAGAAAAGGACTGTGTTTTTTCTTGGCCTTAAGGTATTTTGTTGTTGGGACAATTATTAATCTTTTTCTAATCTTTCCTTGTAGGTCCTTGTAACTCTGGGATTAATCTTGCTCACTGCCTACTTTGTGATTCAACCTTTCAGCCCATTAGCACCAGAACCAGTGCTTTCTGGTGCTCATACCTGGCGCTCACTCATCCATCACATTCGGCTGATGTCCTTGCCCATTACCAAGAAATATATGCCAGAAAATAAGGGAGTTTCTCTGCRTGGGGGTGATGAAGACAGACCCTTTCCAGGTAGAATGCTGCATCTACTACCTATGAGCTAGTTTTCCTGACAGTATTTGATGGGAAAGGAAGTAACATTTATTGAAACCTAATGAGTGACATCTTTCCTATATTGTCTTATTTAATTCAGTCCCCACTAAAACTCTATAGGATGGTGTTTTAGTCAGTTTATTCTCTTCTGTGACTAAAAGAACTGACCAGAACAATTTTAGGGAAGGAAAAGTTTATATGAGGGCTCACAAGTTTCAGAGGTCTAAATTCATAGAGAGTAGACTCCATTCCTTGGGGCTCCACGAGGGGCAGAACATCATGGCAGAGAGTGTGGCAGAGGGAATCAGCTCACATGATGACCAGGAATCGGAGAGAGAGATGTCCCCTTGGATACCAATAAATACCCCAAAGCCATACCCCACATCCTCCAGCCACACCCCACCTGCCTCTAGTTACCACTCAGTTGATCCTGTTGGGGATTAATTTGCTGATTGGTTTAAGGCTCTCATAACCTGATCAGTTCCCCTCTGAACCCTCTTGCATTGTCTCACTGTGAGGGGACACCTCACACACAAACCATAACAGATGGGTTTTGTTATCTCTGTTTTGCAGATGGATAAACTTGAGGCTCAGAGAAATTAAGAAACTTGCCAGAGAAACACATCTATGTGGTGTGTTTTCACTAGAAAACACACATCTTGAGAATGAATGTTTATGAAGGATTTGACTGATTTTTTTCCCCCTGCTTTCTCTCCTATGGTCCCTATCCATAATGGATGTTTAATATACAACTATTAATTTACTGAAAGTGTCAGAGTTCAGCTTGTTTTTTTTCTTTTAAATTTTTTTGTAGTTGTGGATGGACRGAATGCCTTTATTTTGTTTATTTTTATGTGGTGCTGAGAATCAAACCCAGTGCCTCACACATGCTAAGCAAGTGCTCTACCACTGAGCTACAACCCCAGCCYCAAGTGTATCAATTTTGATACAATCAAGTTTAAGAAACACTTAAATTTAGAAACAGTGCATCAATGACAGTGTAGGAATTTCTAGTCTGACAGGACCATTTGAAGGGTTTCTTTTTGAGATAGTGAACATGTGATAAGACTTAAAATTTATTTTTTGAGAAAGAATAGAGGGATCTTGGGAATTTTTTTCAGTACCAAAGTTCAAGTCCAGAGCATTGTGCACACCAGGCAAGCACTCTACTAGTGAGCTACACCCTCAGCCCCTCCCTCCTTTTTTGTGTTTTTTTTTTATATTATTTGGATATATAGGAAATGTGTACATTAATATCACAAATGTAGGATTTTTTTGTGTGTAACTGTTTTGAAACCTGTAGGATTTAGGATAACTTTTAGGAAATATGTTTTCAGGAAAAAAAATTATTAGTTTAAGCCAAGCTTTCTAATTATAATACCATTCTTTAAGCCAAAACCTAATCAGTCATAAAAATTATCTCTTGAATTGGGTTTCCTTTGAAAGCTATTTTTGTACATTTGAGGAAGTCATGAAAAGATTTCCAAAATTAATTAAAATCAGAGGAAGGAGCCAGGTGTGGTGGTACATGCCTGTTATCCCAGCTTCTAAGGAGGCTGAAACGGGAGGAGCATAAGTTTGAGGATCACAAGTTCAGTAACTTAGTGAGACCTTGACTCAGAATAAAAAAGGACTGGGAATGTAGCTGAGTGGTAGAATGCCTCTGGATTCAATCCCTAGCACCATGAAAAATAAGTAAAAATACAAAATTAGGGGCGGGCCGCTGGCGCTGTAGCTCAGTGGTTAGAGTGCTTGCCTTCCTTAGGTGAGGCATTGAGTTCTATCCTGAGCACCACATAAAGATAGATAAATGAATAAAGGTATTGTGTCCATCTACAACTAAAAAAAAAAAATTTTGAAAAAATACCAAACCAGAGGAAGGGAACATTGTAAGATAAAAAAGTGTCTTGGGTTTTTGTTTTTTTCCTTTTAAGTCAACAGCTCACATATTTAGTTTTTAAATTCTAGATATAACTTTCTTATATTTATTGGGAAGATTATTTTTTAATTTCATCAATATAACTCAAAAATTAAGTTTCCAATTTCTGTCAGGAAGGTCCAGGGCATCTGGAGAAAAGAACCAGAGAACCTTGTCAGTTAGCCCAGACACATCCTTCTCCTTTGCTGATGGTCTTCCCCTCACAGCCTCCGCAGAGGTAGCGTCTGCTCTTTGGCACGTGGGATGAAGTAAACAGGGCCTGGTTGATGGTTCTTTCTCCTGCTTCATTAGAGAAAGTCTTCATAGACAAGCTAAAAAATGAGAATTGATCAAGGGACAATGATTGTTCCTCCTCTAAATTATAGTTTAAAAGTTTAAGAAACTTCAGTGTCTTGTCAGAAATCCTAATTATTTGGTCCATTTAAAACTAAAAAAAAAAAAAAATCTATTTTTTTTAGTTTTAGGTGGACACAATATCTCTATTTTTATGTGGTGCTAAGGATCAAACCCAGGGCCTCATGCGTGGTGCAAGGATTGAATCCAGTGCCTCATGCATGCTAGGCAAGCACTCTACCACTGAGCCACAACCCCAGCCCCCATTTAAAATTAATATTTTGCCCTGAAGATTGAAATCCAGTGAGTCCATGGAAGTGTATGGTTTTAGCTCATTAATGTTGTTGATTCTATAAAAGTACTGACTTGACTTAGAAGTGTAGATACTGACTCACCATATTTTCCTGTGTATTAGTTCGGCAAAGTTGTAAACATTAAAACAACAGTGTTTTGCAGGATATTTAGAAGGAAAGTTAAGATGGCATAATGATATGAGGGGTAAATAGAATTGGGTGTGAGAAGTAGGAACCTCTGGGCCTTTAAGAGGGCTGGAAAAGTAAAACTATAATTCTTAAAGTCTGGTTAAAAAAAAAAAAAGGAAAACAACCAACAACTGTTTTCAGCTAAGGATCGCTAGCAGTACCTTTGAAATAAAGGCAGTAGGAAAATGCTCTGGCAGATTTCCCCAAGGAAACCSTGTGAGCATATTGTTTCCTTAAGTGCGGCTTGTCTGATGCTCCCAGGGTCAGCTGGTGCTCCTTGCAGTGGYACCTTGGGAACGACAGTGGCAACTTGATGTTCTAGAGGCATGACCACCAATGGTAAGAGGTTTCCTCCTGAGCTCTGGTGGGTTTTCCTCCTGACTCCACCCAGGGAACAAAAAGCCAACAGAAGTGGGGTTCTCTTTCTAGGTTTCAGCCTTGGGTAGGAAATCCCACCCTCCTCCTACCTCTTGATGAGGAAGATGGAAGTGACTTTGTAGTGAGTCATGGGAACAATATACTSCACAGCAGAAAATAAGTAAAGAAGCTTCTGGTTATTTAGTACTCACCAAATGCCAGTCCAGTTTAACAGTGTTTCCATATGTTGGCTCATTTAATATTTACAACATCTTTATGAGGTAGATTCAGGTTTTATGCCCATTTTACAGATGAAGTCACAGTAAGATGAGGTCATTTGCTCAAGATTCTAAGACTATTGTTTTGGAGCCAAGATTTGAACCCAGGCAGCCTGTCGTCCATCTGGGTTCTTAACCTCTGATGTGAATAGTTCATAACTGTACAGGATGACTGAGGAGTCTAGTTTTCAGTTTGATTTTGGAAAGTTCTTTCTTCTTCAAGTCTCCAAATGCTTTCTCTCTCAGCTCTCAAGTCCTTGAAGAAACAGGGTTCTTTCTGACTGATACTGCAATTCAATGATAAATGATCTTTTAAATTATTGACCCGTTAGAAGTTTCCTGCACTGGTGTTTTCCTAGGCTTTCAGCCCAGCTTATCCTCCCAGTCTGTACTGTTATGGATAATGTCTTACTTAATATTTTCTCTTATTAATCCATAGTTTTCCCTTCATATTTACATTCTGTTCTTTTTTTTTCCTCCCAGACTCATAATTTTTATGTCTCCTTTGCTTCTGCCCATTATCCTCGTGACTTTCATCATTTTCATTGAATCATTGAGTCTTTTTAAAATTTGTATTTATTGGTGGTACTGGGGATTGCATCCAGGGCCTTKCGAGTGCTAGGCAAGCAAGTGCTGTTCCACTGTGCTGTGTCTGTAACTCAAATCATTGATCCTGAGAGTTWAAAAAGGAACTTTAGAGTTAGTCTAGTATATACCCCTATTTTATAAAAGAGGCCAGGAGASGTGAAGGAACTTGCTTATCCATCTAAATGTGCCAAGCTAGCCGGGTGTGATGTGGCAAACTAGCTGGGTGTGGTGTCATATACCTATAATTCCAGATACCTGGGAGACTGAGGCAGGAGGATTTCAAGTTCATGGCCAGCCTCAGCAATTTATTGAGGCCCTAAGCAGTAGTGAGACCCTGTCTCAAAAATAAAAAATATAAAGGGCTGGGTATGTGGCTCAATGGTAAAGCTCCCCAGGGTTAAAAAAAAAAAAAAAGTGGCAAACTAGCACTTGAACACTAGTTCTTAACGCTATTCTATCATTCTGCTCATTATACCACTCTTTACCTGCCATCTCTGGTCTCACTAAGCCAAATTCCAAGGTTATATGCCCAGTTATTTTGTTTACTTCAGGCATTTTCTGGCCAATTTTAAATTAAAACATTCATTTATGCTGAGGAGACCTGGATAGCCTCACATACGGTGAGATGTTGTGTCTGCACTGCACAGCAAGAACACTATGTATCCATGACCTTCGAGGAAGGATGAAGTGGGTCCAGCAATATCATGGAGGGAATAGTAGGTTATTCATTGACTTAGAACTAAGGAACATAGAAGGTCTAGGCCAGTATCCAAATATGAAATTCTTGGACCTCGAGGAATACCTTCCTCTTTTATTGGCAAAATAAACTTACCTTCTGTGAAATCAACAACTCTGACAAGCAGTACCAGGCACCGTACCATGTACTTTATTTTCATTTCTCAGCCTCACAGCAATCATATAAGATAGTTAGCCACTTCAAAGATTTGGAAACAGGCAAGATTAACTAACTTACCTAAAGTCTCACCTTTGGAGACAAATTCT